GGGAGGGGAAGTACGGAGTGTGCTGGCGGGGCGGGGCCGGCGCGGCGCCCGGCTGGGCGGAGGGGGAAGGTGCGGTGGAAAGTCCCTGGCGCGCCGCCAGGAACACAGCTCATAACAACCCCGCGGAAAACACCAGGCCGCGGCCTCTGAAAACCCCAGGCTTGCGAAAGCCGCCTGCAGCCTGTGCACGTGACTGCCGGGGCATTGCCCGGGGCTGGCCTGCTGATCCCGTGAGCTCACGTCCTCCCCTGGCTCATCGTTCCCGGACCGACTTTGAGAAAGTCCCTGGCGCGCCGCCAGGAACACAGCTCATAACAACCCCGCGGAAAACACCAGGCCGCGGCCTCTGAAAACCCCAGGCTTGCGAAAGCCGCCTGCAGCCTGTGCACGTGACTGCCGGGGCATTGCCCGGGGCTGGCCTGCTGATCCCGTGAGCTCACGTCCTCCCCTGGCTCATCGTTCCCGGACCGACTTTGAGGGGTTGTTTCTTTTTTCCCCCCTCTTGCAGATTTCTCCACTTGGCAATTATTCACGAAGAAAAGGCCTTGAGCGTGGAAGTCATTCGGCAGGCAGCTGGTGATCCTGCCTTCCTGAACTTTCAGAATAACCTGAACCAGGTATTTTAAGCCATCTGCCTTCTTGCTTAAACGAGCCAGGTTGCCTGACGCCCTTGGTGATTTCAGTAACTGTGTCATGCAAAATTGTACATTCGGTTGATATTTAATCAGCTGAGCCCCTCTCCCTCCAAGACACAAGATTGCCATTGTCCACAGATAAACTTCTGTTTGTGTACAATCAACATTTGAAACGACACTGGCATTTGAAACGATGATTGCTTTTAGATAAGCTGTAGTGGGTTCTACTCATCCATTATTTCCATGAAAAATACACCCTTAATTTGTACTGGCCCTCTGCGGTCAAGGGAGCTTTAAATCAGTCACTTCCAAGTTAAAAGAGAACTGAAGAAGTCGAGCTAGAGCTGCTAGAATCACCAAGTGGTTGAAGGGTTATGTACTCAGTTGCTGTCTCTAACATATTTCCTGTTTGTCATGTACCTTATACTAGTTTGTTTTCTTTTTTTTATTATAGACACCACTTCACCTGGCAGTAATCACAGAGCAGGCTGAAATTGCTGAGTCTCTTCTCAAGGCCGGTTGTGATCCAGAAATCAGAGATTTCCGAGGAAACACACCACTTCATATTGCCTGTGACCAGGGGTCTCTCAGAGCTGTCAGCGTCCTTACTCAATACTGCCAGCAGCACCACCTATGCTCAGTCCTGCAGTCAGCTAACTACAATGGTATGCATGAAATTCTTAGCAGCTTGTGTTTTTGTGACATGAATTTCAGAGTTTTATGAAGATGGGAGGCTGAGGCCTAGCTGTAAAATGATTTCCCTGAAATCACACTGCAGTCAGTGCTGGAGCTCGGAATAAGTCTCAGCTCCCTTGACTGCAAGTGCTTAACTCTGGTTTTCACACTCTTCAACTTGACACTTTGATTTTTAGATAACACTGTTTAGATATTTTTTTTAAATTGTAGACATTTTACATTTTTCTGTTTCTACTTTGTTAAAACAAGTTCCGGTGTACCACTGGGTGGAAAAAAGGCACTGCGTTTAAAAAGTAATGGTGCCATAGACACAGTACAATGTGTACCACTGGGTGGAAAAAAGGCACTGCATTTAAAAAATAATGGTGCCTTAGACACAGTACAACGATGATTAGAGAAATTTAAAAGTTCATGTAGAACATTTTACATTCAGTTTAGATAATGGTGGTTGTATTTCAAACTCAAAATATGATAGTGTGTTAGGGGTGTTAGAAAGTGACTAATAATGCATTAAAGTAGAAGTACTTAATTTGTACCTATGTTCTTGTTTTACAGGACACACGTGTCTCCATTTGGCATCTATTCAAGGGTATCTGGCTATAGTAGAATATTTGCTGTCCTTGGGAGCAGATGTCAATGCTCAGGTGTGTATTTGAAGCTCTTTGTTTATCCAAACATGATAATGCTGGAATAGGAATATCCAGTTTTTGTAGTGCCAAGCTTAACTATCCTGTTTTATTTTTACTAACCAGGAGCCTTGTAATGGCAGAACTGCCCTGCACTTAGCTGTAGATCTGCAGAATTCAGAACTGGTGTCACTTCTAGTAAAACATGGGGCTGATGTGAACAAAGTGACCTACCAGGGCTATTCTCCATACCAGCTGACATGGGGAAGAGAGAGCTGCAGGATACAGGAACAGCTAAAGCACTTAACCATGGCTGACCTACAAATGCTACCAGAAAGTGAGGATGAGGAGAGCTGTGAATCAGAATCAGAATTCATGGAGGATGAAGTAAGTAATTATTTTCACCCTTTTATAAGGAAGGACTAAATTTTGCCCTTATAAGCATCTATATGCTCCTATTAAAATTGTCAGAGAAATGTGCCCATAATTCTTAGGTGTTATTTCCTGATGTTTTGATGGCATATTGGATGGCCTGTTGACTGTATTAGATATATTTCATCTACACACTCAAAATAAACTAAAAATATAAATTAGTAAGCATTAGGAGTGCAATATAAGGTCTAAGCATTGGACACCTAAAGCCAGAGGTGAAAGTAAGCTGGTGTACCCCAGTGTACCACTTGCGCAAGGAGGAGCCAGCCGGATGGGCTGTACTTCCAGCCTGGCTCCTCTGTCCACCTGAGATTTGTATCAAGATGCTGCTTGCTATTCCCCTTACTGTTATTGTCTGGGGGCAAGGGGAAAGTTCACATTTTGCTGCATTCCTCTCACTCTGACTGGGGAGAGGAGAGGGCTGTGCACTTTCCTCTCTCTCCCTAACAGTGACAGGAAGGGGAAGAGCAAGTAGTGTCCTGGTACATATCTCGGGGGTGGGGAGAATGTTCTGCCCTCCCTGTACACCCCCAACACACTGTCCTGAGCCCTTCACATACCCAGCCGTCTGCCCTGACTCCTGTACCCCTCCACGCTCTACCCACCACTTATTTTCTTACAGGTACTGTTGTATCACAGCCTCCACCACCACCCTCGTGCCCTGTAGGAGGGAATTGCAATATGACAGTACCTCTAAGAAATTTAAATAACTTTCACCCCTCCCAGAATTCTTCTATAACATTTACAAAAATCCAAGTTAAATTAGACAACCTTCCTTTTACTCTGGGCCAATTTTTGTGGGTATTTAACCAAGCAAACCTCCTCTCTTACCTTATATAAGAGAAAAAAGGTTGATAAAACTAGTGTCATAGTATGTGCTCCTCTTTCCATAGTCCCCTGTTAAAGCTACCTAGTATATTTACCACATTTTGCGGTGTAAGGTTTTGGTTTTACTTCCCCAGTATATATAGGGGGGTTGTGGAATCTCCATTACTGAAGATATTTAAGAGCAGGTTAAACAGACACCTGTAAGGAATGAATCTAGACCAACTGTGGCCAACCCATGAGCCGCATGTGGCTCTTCCCTCCTCCTCCCTCCCCGAAAGTGCGGCTCGAGGCTCCCTGTGCCATCCGGCGTAGCCATTCAAAATGGTGTCTTCTAGATAGTGGAGGCCGGCGGGAGCCTGATGTGGCCAAAAAGCCTTTAATTGCATTTCTTAAAGGGGCAGCCCTTTTTTTTGTTTTTGCTTGACCAAATGTGGCTGGGGGCTTCTTTTTTATTATTTATTTTTTTCCCCTCGACAACTTTTCCTCCCTGGCTCTTTGTGCAATATGCACAGCAATTTTGGCTCTTTGCCTGTAATGGGTTGGCCACCCCTGATCTAGACAGTGCTTGGTCCTGCTGTGAGGGCAGGGGACTGGACTTGATGAACTCTTGTGGTCCCTTCCAGTTCTATGATTCTATTTTATGATTTTTCCACATGATTTTCAATTTTTTCTTTTTCATAATCTATATAATTATTATTAAATACTGGTAAAGTTAATTTCAGATTCTGCTTGCTTTTTAGTAATAGTGTTGTTGAGGTCAAGGCAAAGGGAATATACCCCAAGGTGAACTTGAGTACTGCTTTGTAAACTCTGCATTAACATAGCCATTTTTTTCTTCTAGATTATGTATGATGACTGTGTTATTGGAGGACGACAGCTGGTGTCCTAAAGAAGAACTATCTCATAAAGGACATGACTGTACATATGTATAGGAAGCGGACTTATTTTCTTTAAAAAAGATAAAATGTGAAAAAAAAGTTGAAATACTACACTGCACAGCATGGACTACATGATTATGACAGCAGATTTAACATTCTGACCCATACTTTACTTATGGAAGTTGGATGTGTAACATCAGTAGAAGTCTGTTTATTTGTAGCAGTTATGGATTAACTGGTGGTCAAAATGTATGAACAGTATGAGGACAACAAACTACTGGATCCACCTGAATATTTTGTGTACGCGAATGCATATGAAAGATGTCTTGAGTTTTTCTGTGGAGTTGCTTAGTCCTAGATGGCTGGACAGATTCACATGAGTATCCCATCCTCTTGAAGACATTGCATACATTTCTGTTGGGCTGATTATAATAGCTCCTTATGACTGACCTCAGCTGCTCTTTGTGCTGTATTGCAGAAAGAGAAAACAAAAGAATGACTTTTGGCTTTTATGGGAAAGGTAGCAATAATGTTACCTTGTGCATTGGAAACAATGTCTCACCCTAAATATGTGGCATGATTGCTACACTTTTAGGAGTTGTATATAATGTATATATTGTATATTTTGTTTATAATTATTTTGATACCTGACAGAGGTATATTTATTAAATAATGAAGTCCATAGTAGTCCCACATGCATTATTTCCAAGTCCATCAGACCAAAGTTGACTAAACTCATTTTAGGCCAGCTAACAACATATTTATAATAGTATTTTACATGACTCTGGACCCCAAGGGCTTCACAAATGATATACGTGCAGCCTTATCACTGAAACGCTGCTAGAGTGGGAG